CTTAACTATTAATTTTGCAGACTTTAAGTTGTTGCATTTTTCCTACTGGTGTAGTACCTATTGTAATTTTTCATGCTAAAAAGACCAAAACATGCATCGAGATGCATTGCACATGTCCAACTCTATTCCTGGTCTAGAAGTTTGTAAGTATTATTGACACTATGCTTTGTTTGGGTGAGGGACATACAAATCCCAAAAAGATTGAGGCCAAGCTAGTAAGGAATGGATTACAAAATGTTAGATAAGCAGAGTCAAAAATGCACCACATGAGCATCGGAAAGGCATGTGATAGAGATTTGCAGATGACTACATGGAAGGAGTCATTTACAAATTCCTCCTACATACCTTTGCAATGCTCATGTAGTGCATTTTTAATCCCTCCTACATAATGTTTGTAGTATATTTCTTCCTCACTTGGCCTAAATCCCTTGGGACTTGGAAGTCCCTCGCACAAACGTACCATTAGGGTTTGATAGTACTATGTCATAATGAAATAAAAGAAAACATTACGAAAAATGTAATACCTAAAGTAACTTTATACAAACTATAAGTTTCTAACCATGTAAATAAAACCTTGACAACCTAAAAATTTTTCATACCACACCGCACCCTTACTCAAGCCACCTTACAATCAACTTTACATTCAAGTATTAATGCTATTACCACTATTAACTTCTTTCCTCTTTCAAACTAACCAGTGAAGGATTTAATTGTGAAATGAGGAAGTAAACGGGGTTTATATATGCTTTGAGAAGAGGATTGGATCATAATGAAGTAATGAACATTCATTTTGACTATGATAATTCTTTATTGAACATAGGTTCATAAAAAATGCGAAAACTCTTCATGAATATTCCCTTTTCATCCACACCAAATGCCTACCAATCACTGAAGGAGGGAAAGGCTATCTAAATCAATAGAAAGCTAGAAAACTAACCAAGTGAATAGACTTGGAATAGTTCTTTCACAACCACAAGGAATACGTATAATGACTTCAAAGATGATGTAGCAGCCCTATGGGTACATATGGATGGAATATACTCAACTTCATTCGCAGCATCCAAATACATACATGACATGACATGAATACAGTCTCTATACAGTTGGCAATTGATCAAATTATCTTTAGAAAATGATAATAATATCATAAAGATCTACCAAAAATAGATGTTCAGCATTTTCGCAGGTCAACCAGAATTAATCAAGAGGTCCTGCTTTTCATAACAAGACTACTTGAAGCTAAAATTCCGTAAACATTCACGTACATGAAAGATGTGACAGTTTAACTAAAACAGACTAGCAGACCCAGAGAAATTCAATAATTGACACACATTAAATGAGAGATATTTATTTTTTTAATATGAACAATGTGACATTCATTGATAAATAAACACATATTCAGTGATAGCAATAAATAAATGGTGACTCATATTTAGAAATATTCGATCGATAAATTAATGGGTTGACAGGCTACTGGAGCCAGCAATGAATCAAATACAATCAAACAGTTAGAAAAGATGCTCACCAGGGCTAAGACAGAGAAATAGGTGGTATGTTAAATTAGATTTATCCCTTTTAATGAAGCATTGAACGAGTCCATCCCGTGGACCTGGCTGAAAAACCAAACAAAATAATTATCTGTTAAGTGCTGCTCTCAAGATCATATGATGTCCAGCTGGTTCAATAAAAATTATTATCACAAGCTTCTTGCACCATATACAGAATCTTAGTAACTTTGATTTCATTATATACTTGAAGAAGAAAAAATTGATTTTGCACAAACTCATGCTGCGCATCACACTAAATGAATTAAAAGGAAAAACCTGCTTCAGCGACACAGGAAAAGTAAGCTTCCCACAGATCTCAGGCTTCTTAACGATTTCTTTGCACATAATCCTCCAAGAACGGCAAACTGAGGCACATGCAACAACATGCTTTCGAGAAGGCCAAGTGCTCTCACTCTCCTCCAGCCTCCTAATGACATCATATAATAGTTCTGGGGGGAGGCTAGCCCAACGACTGTTTTGAACAATGAGAGGCTGGTCGTGTAAATCATTTAACGATCCATGCGATTTTCCTCTATGATGGCCCGTCAACCGGACTTCAAAACCCCGTCTAGATAAGCTCCCAAAGCCATCCCTAACATCACGAACTATGCTACGGAATGACATTCTTGTGGTGGAAAGGAGTACCAAAAACAATTGTGTATCTTCTTCAAAATCTTCTGATTTCCACTTAGCTTGTGCATATGGCTGCCCACAAACGAAAAGTGAATCAATTGCCACCTACAATCTTCTTAACAGAGAATAAAACATAACATGATACAGAACAGGCAACTAGAATCGACAAGACAAAGAAAAGTAGGAAAGGCAGATTCATATGGGCTACAAAGTAGCATAAAGAACCAAACTTTACTTTAGTAACAGAAGTTTTTGGAACTGCAACCCTAATTTGGACCCAAAAAAGCTCGTAATGATCTATAACCATATAAGCTAAGAATGTGCATAGCAACCATCAATGAAAACATGTATTTAAAAACGAATACTGGCGTTAAAAGAACGGGTTGACTTCATACAATCGAAATTCAATCACAGGTTACCATATCTAGAAGGAAAAAAGACAGTATAACCAGAATACGTATTCTTACAGCAATTGAATACGTATTCTTACAGCAATTGATCATAAACAAACCCTGAATTCGAAAACTAATAAATCATTTCTACACACCGACATCGAGGGTAAACAAGTGCAGGATCAAAATTTAGACCTGACCCTCGACAACAATTACATTTACTAGATTTTTGTCATAATTTGTTCAATACAACTTTGTTACAACAAAAACATAATCATGGGACTTACCAGTTGAACAAAAACCCCAAATTATCCCAGAGCTTAAGCTGGTCAAAGCTGCTCCATGGCCTAATCACAAAAAGTCAAAGATCTGCGAGCAACAAGAACACATCAAAATTACAAAAGAACAAAACTTGAACAGCTTACCCTTAAAGTTAAACCCTATGATTTTCCTGGGCATTTGACCCAGGTGAAAAAAAACATAAATTGTACGGAAAATCCTTACAAATGTTAACAGAAAAACCAAACAAAGAACAGATCTGTACCTCAAACATCAGCTGACCAAAGACAACATCAAGCAACAATCAGACAACCTTTTTCTCTGTTTTATATTTCTGGGTTGGTTTGCAAAATACAAAGAAAGGAAGCAGAGCAGAAGAAGAAGAAGAAGAAGAAAAAGGAGGTCAGGTCAGAAAAGCTGAAAAACCATTATCAACATCACTCTCCCTCTCTCTCTAACTTTTGGGCTTTCTCTCTCTTCCTCTCTCTCTCACGCAGAAATGCGGACTCCAAAGCCCACATTAAATTGAGTTCACGAACCAGAAGTATGAAAGGGGAGACCCAGTTTTCTTTTTCTTTTTTATTGGATATTTTATTTTTATGTTAAATGGAACTTTCCTGTAATTTGTACCAACCTGTAGATGTTTGCAGTGGAATTTTATATTCCCACTCGCAGGCGATGAAGACCAGATGTGGTGTTTGACTGTTCACCTTTCGGCTGTAGTAGGGAAATTGGAAGAGAACTCTTTAATGAAAAAAAATGAAGATTTAAACACTTGTAATGAAGTCTACTAGGATTTACGTTTAAATTGAAAGTTCTGTCAACTCTTGATTAATTGATAGTACGTGAGCCTCAAATGTAAAGCTAAAAAGATAAAGTTAACCTCACATGCTAAGAGAGTTAAAGGAGCTCCGATACATACATTAGTTAAGTTAGCTCATGGTAGTCTGATCATAAACGTTCAGGTCCAATGCATATAGGTTATAAGAAAAGGATTCCAAATGTGTTTTCGACCCACGTTCAAGCGACCAAATTCCTAACTTTTGTTTGAGGTTCCCTAGGATAAACACGCAAATTCGGACTAGGAATTAAGCATATTCATGCCCATAATTGGACAAGGTAAACGAATAAATGGACACAAAGTCATGCTTAAAGAGAAGACTTCTTGCAAACACTTAGATCAATCTTCTGCAAGTGTTAGCAATTACTACTAGCCAACAAGGAAACATGCCAGACATACATTACAATCTGGAGGTCATTATAGACAAAATTAGTCACTTTCTCATCCTTAGTCCGATCAATGCATCACGACAAGTCTCGGAATAAAACAATTTCTATATGTCGGCTTGGAGTTTGAATATGGTGGTATTTCGACTATTGGGGTGGAAATCTTTACAAACATAGAGTTTGAGAGATGACATTGTTTGTTTCATTGTTGTTAAGCGAAGACAGAAGCCCGGGCCTACAAGCTTATTTGTGTTTGACTTTGCTACTTAACTTTGAGTTTGTTTACTTTGGAAAGATTGCCGAATTAAATCTTATTCCACGATAAGGAATCGAGGGATGAAAAATCCTAAAATTATTTTACTCTAACAGGAGTTATGGTTTGGGTAGATAACACTTAGCAAAAAATTATTTTACTCATCCATATCCCATTCAACAATTTCTGGTAGAGACGAATGAGAACGTTGTAAGTTTCTTGACTACGTATACTGATCATCGGAGGCTCAAAGTGAGCGTTGGAATCAAGTGTTGAAGCGTGGAAAACACTGAGAACAACCATGTTTTGGTTGGAAATACGGAAAAGAAAAGCTGAAGATGCAGAGGAGAGCTTCAACTATTTATACAAGATTTTCTGAAATCATCTTACCGTTGAGTTCGAAGCATTGTTGTCTTCATGGCACAACTTTCGAGGCCACACATCTAAATCCGGAATGTCTCATTTAAGTTGTGATCTACTTCGAAAGGTTCTGTATTCCGATCTACTTCGAAAGACATAATTTTTCGATAACTATCCATCTTCAAGCGGAAGGACAAAGTAGTTATTAACAACTATTATGTAAAAAATTCCTCCCATATCTCTCTCTCATTTGCATGACATGTATCATATCAGTTGCAACTGGTAATCAAACCTAAGACTACGAGGTGATGAACGAACTTAACCCAACAGTTTTTGGTAAAAGTAACTTTAAATATAAAGGATCAAGTAATTTGGTTCTTCAAACGATAACTCGCATACCTTCCAAAGCACAAATGTTTTCATTTATTACTGGCTTAGAGTATCTCCATTGCCATAAGTTACATATTATTTCTTCATGTGGTCGTCAATTTTCTTCACCTTTTGTTAATTGACATTCTGCTCAACTTGAGAATCTGCACACATGGAAAGCAAAATTAGCATATGCCTATACTGGACTAGTCAAGAACCGGACTAGGCCCAGTTAGATGATGGGCCTAATAATCTACATCTAATCAGATTTGCACTGAAACTAAAGAATAAAATAAGAAAGTGGAGAACTTGACTTTATAATATTGTTATAAAAACGTTAAACCGTGAAATGACAAAACGTTTATAAAAAGTCTCATTTTGAGAAAGTCATTTATCATTTATCTTTTTATATATTCAAAATAAAAGGAGATATGTGACGTAGTATAATTGTCACATCCTAGCCCAGGCCCTCACTACATTCGGGGCTCGACTCCATCGTAACACGATATTGTGACGTAGTATAATTGTCACATCCTAGCCCAGGCCCCCCACCACATTCCAAGCTCGACTCCACCGTAGCACGATATTGTCTGCTTTGGGCTCTGACCACGCTCTCACGGTTTTGTTTCTGGGAACTCACACGAGAACTTCCCAGTGGATCACCAATCTTATGATTGATCTCATGCAAACTCACTTAACTTCAGAGTTTCGATGGAACCCGAAGCTATTGAGCTCTCAAAATGTATTGTGCTAGGTAGATATGAGAATATACATATAAGGCTTACAAGATCTATTCCCCTAAACCATCTGAGATGTCATAATAAGTGACTCTAAAAAAATACTTCAATTATATTATAATGCGTGATGGATGTGTAATTGTGTAGGGCGGTGGGGTTTACCTGGACCGCACCTAATCTGGCACTTGCGATCACAGCGTGCCATAAGTCTCGCTGCACGCACACAAATGAATCACCAAATTAACAAGTGAATTACTACATACAAATTACAAATTTATCAAAATAATAACGAGTAATTGAGCGTGTCAGCGACGACGTAGATGTGTGTTAGTTAAAATTTTTGCATGAAATTCATCGCCGCCTCCCTCTCTAATCTCAAACTTAGTAATTATATGATGCCATAATTTGCTAATAGGCAAGCAAAGATTGAGATTTCAGCACAAGACCTTTCATTCAAAAACAAAAAACCAGTAGCTTTTATTTATTTGTTTGTTTTGTTTTGTGAGGAAATAATATAAGTAGCTATTTTTTTTAAATTTAATCACCAAAACCAAGCCTAAAACAGTTTGAAATTCGACTGTCAAAGATTAAAAAAAAGTGCTTCATTTTTTTAATCAAATGATAAAAATATTTAAGTGATTCTTGAAAAATCTAAGTGTATTCAATCATAATATTAGAGAAATTTATACACCTCAAATGTATTCAATTAGAAATTGATTTAAAAAAATTTAAAAATTAGGGAATTTAAGAGGGTTCATAGTGTATTTTAAATATTATTACATCTCACCTCTTATCTTGAGAATTTGAAGAAATTTGCTTAAAATTTTACATAAAATCTCTAGAAATCATTAAACTCTGTAGAAATCTATGTATTTATAATCCAATAAAATTTCTCAAAATCCCAATTAAAATTGTATTTATCAGAAATGTATTTGTCATGAATTGTATTTATCAGTAGTGTACTTGATAATATTTTCTAGCAACTCTGAACTAAAATTGTTTCGACACTCGAATTTACACAGTTCAAATAAAACCCAAAATTTCAGTCAGAAAACCAGAATCCCAATTCGTTAAAGACACATATAATTCCAATCAGAAGGTCTAAATCCACACTAATTAATCGTATAATTTAATAAATTAGAAAGTAATTAAGTAGGTGGAAAACATACTGTCTCTTTGGACACAGCCAGTGCTGCAAGCATCATAGCAGTCAACTGCAGCAGAGTCTACGACGGCGTTCTCCATACCAGAGAAGATGACGCACAAAACCAACACTACGACGACGTTCTTCATCTTCATCATCTTCCTCCTTCTTTGCTTGCTGCGACTGAACGGTGATCTAGTTCTGGACTTCTTCTGTTCGTTTGGTTGGTTTCCAAATTTAATAGAAGACACTAACGGTTTCAAACTGCCCATGAATGGCAATGGAACTACGAAAAAGCCGTTGGACCCATATTCTTCTTCACTGCGGCGGTCGCCCATTTTTGACCGTCATGAATTGTAGCTAGGAAAACGCCACCTCTACACGTGCGCTAGAAGCCGACACACGTTACTTACGGATATGGTCCACGATTACTACAGAGGGAAAATCGTATGCAATCACTAGGATGGAAAGTCCACATCTGATTGTTTGATATGTATATATTTAACTGTTTCAACTTGGCAAAACTAGCAACACCACTAAGATGCTGGCTGAATTATTTGTTGGTTTTGGATCAATGATCGACAATGACATGATTAGGATGGGCAACGGTTATGGCGGACGGGTAACTGTGGTTATTTACCCATAACTGTTTATGTTCATATCCGCATAACTGTTTACCCGTTGGGTAATTGCATAAACGGTTATATTCATACCCATAACCGTTTATAAACGGTTAACCATATCCATAACCGTGTACCCATTTAACTATAACCGTTTACCCGTTTACCATTTTTTGAACCCGTTTATCATTTTTTTACCCATTTACCCTTTTTTTCACTTGTCTACATGTTTTTTTTTTTAACAACTTGAAAATTACAAAAGAAAAATTTGTCATAATTTTCGTTTTCTGACAATTAAACACTGTTATATGTACATTTTAGCATGCATTTCCCTATTTTAATCATTTAAGTCCTCATATAATTCCAATAATTGAAATAATAGTTTACGAACAATATTTTTCTGCTACACCCAAAGTAAAAAACAAAAATGGAGCACTGACTTTCAAGTTTAGCAGCAAATCTTTGTTGTCTGAGCCACACCCCAACTCACTAACCCCTACCATCCAGCAAGCAAGCAAATAAATTAAAGAAAAAGGTATGCTAGTAGTACCGCGGGTTGAGACTCTGAGTTTGACAGAGAAATTGAAAATTTAGGGTGTTTAATTATTTTTAATTTTACATATATTAAATTAAATGGGTAAATGGATACCCGTTATAACTGCGGGTAATACCCATAACTGATGAATACCCGTTATAACAGCGGGTAATACCCATAACCGCCCATTTAAATTTCACAGGTAAACGGTTATACCAATAACCGTTTGTTCATCTAAACGGTTACCCATAACCGTAATTGTGAACTTTAAATGAGCGGGTAACCGCGGTTACCCAAACCCATGGATATTTTGCCCATCCCTTGACATGACCTTATGACTAATTTTGTAGCTTCTATCTATACTCGTCAATTGTCACGTCTCGTCTCGAATTATTTATTTTTTACGGTGTGAAATTACTTATTTACCCTTGGACGTTTTGTGTGGTTATGTGGGTTAAGTTTTATTTGGACCAATTCAAAGATTTTCCTAAGTTTTGGAACACTTAGGATTTAAAGTGTTTGTTTTGTGTATTGGAAGACCAAGTAGGACCACCACACACCCAACCTTTTCCCCGTGCACTCTCTCTCCCCTCTCTTTCAATTTTTCTGCAACGTCCGTACAAGTGTACGGACAAATCTTGAACCCTCTCATTCAGACACGGATCGACATCAAGAAGGTGAGATTCAAACTCCTTATAAGCTTCTGAGTTCGTATATGCTATTTTTAGAACTTGAAAGCTTCAAAAACCCTAAGAACTCTAACCCTAGATTTCATGCACTGTTCATGCACTAATTAATGTGAGATTTTTAGGAGTTTTTAAGGACATTGGGAGCTTTGAATCATCCTCATGAAGCTTGGAGAAGAAAAACCAAGCGATTTGGACGTCGGGAAATTGAGTTCGACGAGTTTTAAGTTTTTGCCAGATTATCGAGCTTTCTCCGGTAAGTTTTCGTGGATTTCAAGCCTTGAAATTGGTAAGGATGTGTTCTTCTAGTTATAAGCTTTAAATTGAGACCTATTTCATGAGTTTTGGGTAAGAAATGACTGAGATACAAGGATTTTAAGATTTTCCAGTTTCCGGCAACGGCGACAGTCGTCGAAGTTCGAAGGTAGGAGATGACGGAATATTCCGTCAATTTTGACTGAATATTCCTAATGGCGACTAACGACGTTAGTTAATTTAACGGAATATTCCTAACGGCCGTTAGGCCTCAATTAAGGTTTGGCCGTGCATGGGGGCCCGTAGGGCCGTGCCTCCGCCGGCGCGTGGGACGTCGAAATTTTTTTCTAAAAATATGGGGATGTTCGTGAGGTTGTGTAGGTCAAGTTGGTATATTCAAACATCCCATTTGAGCAATGTATGAGAAGTTATTAACTAGTTTTGTTTATGTGCTTTACATTAAAGTTTTTATAGTTGTTTCGCATATAGGGAGACTTATCCTAAGGACGAGCGCAGTCAAGGGCGACTCGGGGGCTACGACCCTTCGACATACCAATGAATGGGCTTTTGGTTTTCAGTATATACTTATATACTTGATATTTTCCCATAAAAAGCGTTTAAATGAAAGTATGCTTTGAAATGCCATGCATATAAATTTATATTTAGCATAAGAATTAGTATATGATGTATAATATGAATTGGTGCTGTGGACGCTCAGGTAAGTATCAAGTGAGTTATGTTTTATTATATGAGATATTTATAATATGAGATGTGATTGAAAGCTCATAAACCTGCACCCTGGGTGATTGTGATTTAGCCAGAGATATGGTACATGCCTGTTTATAATGTCACCTCCCGCACCTTATGCTTACATTAGATCCAATTTAGGTACATAGTCTTGTCGTACAGACCATCATAGGTGGTTCCGACTCGTAGGTGACTAGCGATTTATCGCATAGCTATCATGAGTGCGTAGCATTGAGCATAACTATATTAGACCCAGTCTTGTCATATAGACCCTTACAGTGTTTTTGACTCGTGTGCAGCGTAGTGCCGTATAGGTCACTTGTAGTGACTCCGGCTAGATTGATTAATAAGCTATGAATTTAACCGTATAGACTTCTGCAAGGGGTTCCGGCTAATATGTTATTTTCTATGAATTTATTTTCACCAAAGTTACTTATTCTGTTTTATATTATTTTCTATGAATTTATTTTCACCAAAGTTACTTATTCTGTTTTATATTTTGGCATGGCATACTTATGATTTTGGATATGTGAAGCATGATTTGATATATATATATATATATATATTTATATTCCATTTATGGGAAAATTATACATGTTTTACGGTGAGGAGTTAGAGCATTTGATAAATGAAATGATTTTTGAAAAGCTTTGTTTTTGCCCACTCACACTTTCTGTTTTGCGCCCCTCCAGGTTTTAGGTAGACTTACTGTTGGTGACATTTATGGATCTCGGCGGTTCTGACAAAGTATATTATTCGTAGGACTTCTTCTGGTACTGTATAACTAGTACTTGTCCTACTGGATTGCACCTAGACTTCTATGCTCTGATTAGGTGTATTTACACTTGTATCTCATTCCTAGCACTTTCTACTTATTAGTGCACATTAATTGGCTTTCGGTTCTTATTTATTTGTATATTTCATATCCTTATTGCTTCTGCACTGTGCACATGGCTACGTCACCCTCACGTGACGGCCAGCATGCCTTGATTTTAGGTCGGGGTGTGTCATCAATGGTATGAAATGTGAAAAATACGTCCAAGTATGTAGCTGTTGGAATAGAAATTTTATTTGAAATGTCATATGAACTTATACCGATTGTTAAATTTATCATGTGAACTTAGCAATTTACCATATGGCCCATATCAAGTTTCAAAATATATTAATTTGTCATCTAACTCTAATTCCGTTTGAGTTTTTCATCCAAAATAAGCTGTGTGCAAGGCAAATGACTTGTTTTCAAGGTTGCTTGGGATATTTCAACTCCCTACTATGATCCCTTCAAGATTATTTTGCACATTTCAAGGTTATTTTGGACATTTTAACTCCCATTTCTGAAATGAATATGATTGACCACATTGAACTTGTAATTAGTTAAACTCCATGTTAGTGAGTGTAACGTACTTTTTAGCATTTCACCATAAGCTTATAAAACGAACATGAGATGTTTTTTCGTACCAAAAGATAAGTAGAAAACTTGTAAAATGAAAGTCAAAAGTTGAAAATCATCTCCCATTCCTAGTGTATGTACGTCTTTGTAGAAAATAATAAATAAATAAATAAATAAACTTGTGAAAAATGAGGTCAAAAGTTTAAAACTTAACGAAGTTAGAGTGAGATGATAAATTAATGATTTTAGAAAATTTGTATGACAGGTTGCTTACAATTTTAGTTCATATGACAAATTAAAAATATATATAAGTTCATATAACATTTCAAAATTTTTCCCTGATGATTATAACCGAAGTAAGCAATCCGATGACTAGGAAAATAATCCAAGTAAAAGCGTCTTTAATGGTGCATATAATTATGTAGCTAGGCACAAACTCATTTTGATGAGCCCTATGGGAAAAAAATTAGCTTCAAACGGAGGCCAAGTGTGAGATTTAAACATAGGCCCTTATAAGGTCTAAATTTTGGTTGTTATATATATTTGATTTTTTTATTATGTATAAATTAATATTAAGCAAAAAAAAAAAAAAATAATAAAAGAATGGTGTGGCAGCTGAGTACCTATCTGCATCTTTATGTTTTGAGTTGGAAACTCCTTTCTTTTAAATACAAGAATATTAAAATAAAACGTAAAAGGATATGTCATAAGAGGTATTCGAACTTTTTGTTAATTAAAAGTGGGTGAAAATACTAAATTAACATTATAAACAAAACTAAAGAAAAATAACCAAAATAAAAGTTATGGGCAATATAATAAATTAAATACAAAATAATTTTACTTTTTTTTTTCAAAACCTCATAGCCAGATGCCATATCAGTTGCCCCAATTTTCTCTTCCATGCATTTCTCAAAAAAAAAAAAAAAACCTCTTTAGCGACGAAAAATTGTTTGAAGGTCATCACCAAAAAAATTTAGTCACCATTTTATATTATCTCTCTTTGTAAATTTTGTTTTTTTTCAAAATTTTAATATGCACACGCATAGCATGTGTATGATTGCTAGTTACGAATAAATAACATGTTCCTTTGGCATAAATAAGAATAAATAACATGTTCCCAAAATAAGATATCTTAGTCTTTTTAATAGTAAGTGATACGAACCTTATATTTCTAAGTTTTTTTAGGTATTGTGTAGGTGAAATATTTTTAAATTTCAAGGAGTTTAGACAAAGTGATAAAAAAATGAATCACAAAAAGTTAGATAGGAGGGATTAAAAATGTATTACAAAGGCATGTGAGACAAATTTGCAAATAACTACTTGGAAGGTGTCATTACAAATTCCGTTTGCATACCATTGTAATGTTCACCTGTGGTGCATTTCTAATTCATTCGATTTAACTTTTTGTGATTTATTTCTTCATCACTTGTGGACATGTGGCTTGATAGAAATCTTGGTCAATTACTTAGGATTTATTTCTTCATCACTTGTGGACATGTGGCTTGATAGAAATCTTGGTCAATTACTTAGGATTTATTATCTTTGTTTTTCTCTCCATCATAAACTAAATTGATGGCTTTATTTATTAGAAGGGAAACAATTTGTCTTGTAACAAAAGGACCTCACGTAGAAATAAATTTTGTGAGCCAATTTGTGAGAAACTCATGTTCTCTTTTTACGTTTGTTACCTCAATTAGTTAATAAATTGTGATATTTTTTTTTTCAAAATTTATTTGTTCTATTTGGTGCTCTAGCACAACAATTGGTACCAGAGCCACAAGGCACGTTCATATCAAAGTTTTTATTTGAAACTTGTTTGACGAAGAGATGATCAATCAGAATAAAAAGGCGCACATCCTTTGCTGGAGTCACACGATTCGCGTTTGGCAAAAATGACAACTCAAAATGCAAAGTTTGAAGTTGAAAAGTTCGATGGAACAAATAGCTATGGTTTGTGGCAATGTAAGGTCAAAGATGTGTTGGCTCAACGAGATATGGACATAATGCTAGAAGACAAGCCGAAGGCTATGGAAGGAGCTGAATGGAATAAGTTGAATCGGATGGTCTGCTCTACCATTCATTTATGTCTTGCAAAGCCTCGAAAGTACTTTGTCATGTGAGAAACGTTAACTAAGTTGTTATGCACAAATTGGAGAACAAGTACATGACGAATAGCACCAAGAATCACCTTTATTTGAAAAAAAAAAAACAATTGTACTGATTCTAGTACAAAGAAGGTACGAAAATGATTAAAAACCTCGTTTCATTTCATACCTTCTTTGTACCGGAACCGATACAACTTCTTTTTTTTTTTTTTTTTTTTTTCATATGGAGGCGATTTTCGATGCTCTTCGTCATGTACTTGTTCTCCAATTTCTGCATAATGACTTAGCTGACGTTTCTCACATGACAAAATACTTGAGGTTTTGCAAGGCATAAACAAATGGTAGAGTAGGTTATCCAATTAAACTTATTCCATTCAGCTTCTTCCATAGCCTTCGACTTGTCTTGTAATGTCATGTCTAAATCTTGTTTAGCCAAGACATCTTTGACCTTACACTGTCACTTACCATAGTTATTCGTTCCATCGAACTTTTCGACTCCAAACTTTGCATTTTGAACTGTTGTTTTTACTAAATGCAAAGTGTGACTCCAGCAAAAGATGTGCACCTTCTGATTTCGATTGATGACCCATCTTCGTCAAACATGTTTCAAATAAAAACTTTGATACGAATGAGCATTGTGGCTCTGATAGCAATTGTTGTGCTAAGCACCAAATGGAACAGATAAATAAAGAAAATTCACAATTTATTAATTGATTGAAGTAACAAACGTACAAAGAGAAAATGAGTTTCTCACAACTTGGCTTACAAAAATTTATTTCTATGTGAGCTCATTTTATTACAAAACAAATGATTTCCCTTCTAATACGTAGAGCCATCAATTTAAATTATGATGGAGAGAAAAAAAAGGATAGGCAATACAAAGTAATTGACCGAGGTAATTTCTATCGAGCCACATGTCAACATCACTATGCAAAAGCCCAAAAATGGAGATTTTTCAGTGTGATCGTTACATAGGGTGGTACACCACGTGTTGCTATATAAATGGTAGGATATGTGTGTTAAAAAGTTAATAACTTAAAAAATAAAATTTCTCACCACTTACATAAAAACACGTGGTTACCACTCGTGTTCCAATCACAACTAAAAATTTCTCCAAAAAATGGGTATTTTTGTGACAAACTTTGAAATTCCAAGGATTTAGGATAGTGATGAAGAAATCGATTACAAAAAGTTAGATAAAAGAAATTAGAAATGCACCACTTAAGCATTACACAAAAGCATGTGAGAGGATACGGGCAAATTGTCCACTTGTAAAGAGTTATTCTAAATCTTTCTTTAGATGGACTTGGCTTCTCTGCCCTCCCACTTCCCATACATTTTCATCCCCTCCTATTTTGTGCGGTCACGGTTAAACCACGTTAACATTTTATATTAATATTGTTTTTTATCTTATTATCTCTATAAAAAAATCAATATAAAATATTGACGTAACTTAACCGTGACTGCAGAAAATAGGAGGGGATAAGAGTGTATGGGAAGTGGGAGGGCAGAGAACCGGGGTCCTCTTTAGATACCTTTGTAATATTCATGTGGTCCATTTTCTATTTCCTCTCATTTAACATTTTGTGATCCATTTCTTCTCCATTTTGCCAAAATGCTTTGAAATTTGAAAGTCCTCCAAACATACTTGGGAAAGACTTATTTGCTGGGTAAAAAATTTGTACGAGTTCTCGTTACCATCCTTAGACTGATGGTTAAACCGAGGTATTCAATAGGGGTTTGGAAACTTATTTGAGGTTTTTTTGCATTCATCAACCAAAACGTTGGGTTCAATGGTTAGCCATGGCTTGGACTATATTACATCAATTTACACTTTCTAAGCTCAATCATTTTGAGGTTGTCTTTGGTCAATCACCTCTTGTCTCTTCTTATGAATCTGGAACTGCAAAGTTAGATTTGGTTGGCAGAAGTTTTCCGGCCAGGGCTCGAGTTTTATCTCAACGTAGATCAAATTTGGAGGCTGCTCAGGTGCGAATGCAGTTTTGATTAGTTCAGTACGTTGCATATAAGAAAGCATTTGGGTTCTGGTATCTCTCCTTCCTCTCCTCTTCCAGTAATCATGGATGATGGACTGATACATGACACTCCCATTGCAATTCTGCGACCCCAGTTGATTTAACATGGTCATACGTACTTCTGTTACTGAATTCTTAGTTCAATGGAAACATCACCCTAATGAGGATGCAAGCTGGGAGAGTGATGTAGAATTCAAGCTAAGCTTTCAAAATTCCAACCTTGTATATGGACAAGGTTTTTTTTCATGGGCGGAGTACTGATAGCATACTACTATGGTTCTTCTAATTGATTGTATAATTGGCTCGAGTGGTTAATAAGCTCTACCAAATGTCACCAATGGAAGCTGCATGTGAGAAGATCAAATTGTTTTCTTTCGGTTAACTGGAAATTAAGAGTGTTTTACACATTGGTTGAGAATGGATCATGATAGTTATTTTAATTATCACATAACATCATATAATAGGAATATATACATATAACATCATGATAAGGAAATCACAAATCAGAAAGAAAATAATATAAAAAGGAATCATCACGTGTATTATCAAAAGTTTTGTTTTTAGTTTTGGGAAAGAGTACATGATATGTAATAAAAATAGCTGTGGCCTTCCTCGAACGTTCGTCCACTGCAATTTCGGTTTATAGTCTATATCCTGCATAAGAATAACTGCACATAGTTTAATAAAACGCTAAGGAAGAAAGAACAGTATATCAAGATTCAAGAGCGATGTTTTTCTTGTAGTCAATGAGAGGGTAAAACAGATAAAACATACCTTAGGTTTAGTTTCCAAATTTACCAAACAGAATACATGAATCCATAAGTAGTTGAGGAGTGTTGAAGTAGGTACTTTTAACCTCTGCTGCTATTACTTGTGATGTTGTTGTCATTACTCCCGGTGGTAATGGCCGGAGCAGATGTTGATGTTGTAACGATTTCAATAGACTGAAATTCTGAAGGTCGGGGGGTTTCGAGTGGTTCTACCCGATTCATCCTCTTTATTTCGATGCTCTTACCCCACAAATATAGGTATAACCCACCTATGATGAACACTGCTCCTAGTAAGCTGTCATTCATTTCCACGACAAAACCCATAAATTTAATTTAACAAATTTATGTAAGGATATAAAGTGCACTGGTGACCATTGGGTCTAGTAGTTTACTTTTCATTTGTTGGATGAGTCTGAATTCAAATTTCATGTACGACAATAATTGAATTACCTAAATACAAAAAGAACAGGAATTACGTGAATATATATATACACGTACGTACCTTCCCAGGTACAAGTTCTCTTCCAGCAACAATGAGGCAAGTATGGCAACCAGTACAAGTAGGACAGGAAAGAAACTCGCTGCATACAATGGCCCTCGCATGTTTATACACCATGCCATCAAGGTCACCGCAATTCCTGAAATCACTATTCCCTACACCGCACAAACACACACAACCAGTACCAATCATCTGCTAATATAATTAAAATAATGATTCAGTAAACGTAATCTTAACTACTTGAGATACAGGCCCCTTACCGAATAAACAACTCCAAGTAGTCTAATATTCCAGCCCAAATGCCATTGCTTCCAATCCCTCTCCGCGCAAAGGGCATAAATCACAGATTGAATTGTTGCCATTAGCGATGTCAAAGCTGTGGCCGACATGGGGCACGGGAATGTTCTAGTCATTTTTCCCTGCATTTTATTTTCATGAACACACACACATGTCAAAACAGGAAAAGAAAATGAAGAAAAGCAACGGAATCATCAACACTCAAATTAACCTGAATTATGAGCCATAGTGAACTGCACGTACAGCCCAGGAAAGCTAACACTGCACCCAAGGCATAATTGGTGGGGTGGTGCGACGACGATGAAGTGGTTTTGTTCTTCGTGTCTATGAGGTTACCATGAACTGACCAAATTTTTATAGTGATGCCTTTGTAGAATACGAAGACCATTGCCCCTCCCAACCCAACCGCTGTTCCGGCAAGTTTTGCCATTCCTGGAATACTTGTTAACGAAAGCTTCTCCTGCCGAAAGCATACCGCCAGTAGGAACGTTATTGCCGGAATCAGATTAGTTATCGCCACACAATATGTTGCTGACGCAAACGCAATGCTCTCCATGAACAAATTTTGAGCTAGTGATAGGCTGCCATATTTGTAATCATAAAACGACAATCAAACTAGAAAAACTTCAACTTATATATGAATTAGGAATGAAGAGAGAATCTGAAAACAATGTGTATAAAAATTAAGGAGGGTGTAGTCAAACTCGGATTTGAGATGATTTTAAAAGATTTTAAAATTCTAGTGTAGTCAATTAAAAGATTTTAAAGGATTTTAGAATCCATTCGAATCTAGGTATAGTCAATTAAAAGATTTTAGAGGATTTCAATAAGTTGTGGATTTTATAGGATTTGAGAGCAAAAATTAAATATAACTAAGACTAAAAAGAATCCAACCTCACCCCTTAGGATTTCAAATCCTTTCAGCACAATCCATTCAAATTCTTTAAAATCCATATGAATTTTGTAGGAGTATTTATCCTTTTAAACCTTTTAAAATCTATCACTTTTAAAATCCTTTAAAATCTTAAATTGATTACACCCAAAATGCAATTGGAGGTTCACTTTTTGTTTATCGTATCAATCTAAATTAGGTATTAAAAAAATCATATTTGTCAACCAAAAAAAGTGAAAAGACAATTTTATTTTCTGTCACAAAATAAAATTATGCATTTGCACAAAAGAAATTTTTTTTAAGCCTCACCCACATGTCATTATCTTTCTAATTTAAAAATAAAAAACTCACATTCTCTCTCTTACATTTCTCTCTTGCACATATTATTTTCTTTTTAAAATTTTTATATTTACACCCACGTATTGACATAGTGTGTGAGCTTCATAGTAACATTTCATATACAAAAACTAGATTAACATCCTTCCACAAGATTTAATTTTCAAAAAAACCGAGTGTAAGATCTAATATTTAATTTTGATCCCTTGACTTTATATTCAACTCAGCAACAACTTTCCATATAGGAGTTGAAGAGTCAATTAATTAAATGAATTATTTTTGTTTGTTCCTAAATCGCCCTTTTCCTATGATTTAGCTAATAAATATTGACTATTAGGCCTTTGAGCTTTCTATGTTTATTTTGAAATCAATAAAAACAATATTTTTGCTAAATGTCTATACGAGCTGCACAATCAGGTCTCATTTATGAAGAGCAACATGTCCAACTCACATACACTTCTCCTTTATATTATCTCTTATCTCTCTCAATTGTATATTCTCATGATTCATATATTTCTTGCATTACGGAACATCTAAGGTTTGCAAATCTATTTTTTACTTATGAATTGCGTTTATTCGTGTATACCTATGGATTGTGTTTATTCGTGTATGATAATTTTTTGTCTATGGAGATTGACAAGTACGTATTTTTTGAATCTATGATTTGTGTACTTATATGAAGATACATGGACTAAAGTTTGCATACCGAAATTACGTACCTCTGTTTATGCCCTTATACTTCCGTACCTATGCCTATGCATTTATACTTCCGTACCTATGCTTATGCCCTTATACTTCCGTACCTATGCCTATGCACTTATACTTCCGTACCTACGGTTATGCACTTATACTTCCGTACCCATGTATATCACTTTGTTAATGTACTTATAATTTTTATGAGTGTTCCTCTTTTTTCTTATGGAGATGGGAATTGTGTTAGTGATGATATTTCTTTCACGTTTATATTCACAATTAATCAATATAAAAAATTTCATTTATTTTCTTGTACCTATTATTAGTACTTTCCAAAAATTTTAAAATTTTAGAATTTTGATTTAAGTGTATTAATGGGTGATTTGAGTGTGAAAGTCAATTTCCAATTTTTAGTATTAATTATGAATTGAAAAGGAAAATGTGGATGGCAAGTTTGTAAATAGTATATGTGATAGAGGCAATTAAATATGACATGGTGTTAAGATTTTAAAATAGGGACTTAAATTGGATAGAGAAACCCATGCAGGTTAATCTAAAAGTAATCTTATTTAGGTCCTAAAATCTAAAAGCCCGTTTAATGTATTACCCAAACAATCCGCAGAGAAAAGCTTGCCCTAGTATGGTCCATGTTATTTTTGATCTTCCGTTCCTGCGCTTATATAGACAATTAAAATCAACAAAAAATATTGTAGTAGCAGTAGAAGATTAATAAGACTTTTTATTAGTACCCCTGCATTAGGAATGAAAAACGAATTCACTCATTGACATTTAACCATGCATCTTGGAGAAATGGAAAGATTAAAAAGGTATATATGGTAGAGGCAACACTTAACCTTTCAAGTACAAGAGCAAGAGGTATCATAAAGACAGAGGCAAAAAGGACACGATAGGCAGTGAAGACCTTTAAACTCATCCCATCGTTTGCTACCAGTTTGAAAATTATATTCAGTGCTGCACTTAAAATTTGAACCAACACCATTACCAACATTGGTTTCAACCCATGTAACATATTACAAATGCGCATGCACCCCATCCTTCTTGTGTATGATTCAAAGGTATAATATCGTTGTTGGTGGTGGTGGTGAGAGAGAGAGAGAGAGAGAGAGAGAGAGAGAGAGAGAGAGAGAGAGAGAGAGAGAGAGAGAGAGAGAGGACTTCGAACACTACAAATCTGTATGAAATTTTCTGAGGCATGCATCCAACTCGGCTGCAATATATCATAAATCTTACTGTGAAATCAGGTGTGATGGATCGTCCTAAATCTGAATGGGATTTTATTCTTAATTTGAGCCTATTCAGATTTTTCCCTATGTTTATTTTTTGAAGAAAATCTCTCGTTTTATCATTATGAATAACATGTTCCAAAAAAAAAGAGAGATCATAGTCTCCCTATGTTCATAGGTGTATCCATGAAAGATTATAAGCAATCTGAAGGGTTTTAATCATTCAGATTGTTTATAATCTGGACATCATTATAGAAGATGTTTTTAAGGGAACTTCGACGATATGAGGGATATTTTTATCGAATTGAAAAGAAAAGGTCATATTTGGGTAAGGATATAAATCTTATAAGGGAAGTACTCTCCTCCTTTCCGTCTATATCACTCCTACACCAGCCATGACGTCACCATCTCCTCCAGATATCAAGCCTCCAATCATCTCTATCAGGCTACCAGCTAGGCAAATCAATCGTTCGCTTGTGCATCTTAATCTCTAATTGTTGTCTATACATAGTTGCTGCTAATTACACATTTCAATTAATTACTTCCCACATGTAAAGTCACTCCTAGACTAGTATATTATGTATTATTCTTGGTAAAATCAATCAATGAAAACTATTATTTGTCTCAAAATATTATATGGTATTCGAGCCCTAAGCTCTAACGAGCATTTTTCAATTTTTTTCCTGTGCGCTCACAATGTCAGACGAGCAATCAACCAACTCTGGTTCTGTTGTCCACTCATCCAACACTTTGCTTTCCGCTGACAACTCCGAATCATTGATTACGATCAGTGCTGATGTCTAATTGCCTGTCAAAGTCACACCCAATAATTATCCCTCTTGGCGTGCTCAATTTATTGCCCTTCTTATAGAGTATGATCTCATGAGGTATGTCGATGGAACATATCCCTGCCCAAACAAATTGGACACCCCAACGTCCACACTGTTCTATAATCTTTGGCTACGCCAAGATTAACTGCTGCTCCATGCCATACTTGCGCCCGTTTCAGAACAAGTTGTGTCTCTTATTGTTTATGCCCCAACCGCCAAGGTTGCATGATACAAACTCAAACAACTCTATGCTAATCGTGCCTGTTCTCGTATCATGGATCTCAAAGAGCGCCATACTCTTATGCGTCGTGACTCCAAGCCTGTTTCTGAATATCTTCAAACCGTCAAAGCTATTGCAGGTGAACTCGCTCTTATTGATACTCTCATCAATGATGATTACCTACAAACTCAAACAACTCTATGCTAATCGCGCTCGTTCTCGTATCATGGATCTCAAAGAGCGCCATACTCTTATGTATCGTGACTCCAAGCCTGTTGAATATCTTCAAACTGTCAAAGCTATTGCAGGTGAACTCGCTCTTATTGATACTCTCATCAATGATGATTACCTCATCTTACACATCTTAAACAGCGTTGGTGTTGGAAACCTAGGTTGAACCCTCACAAATGATCACGTAAGTATGTGTTTGTTTCGGTACTCAAATGCTGGGAGAATATGCCTTATTCAATTAAAGAGCAAGCATGGCCTTAAATAGCCTTACAAAGAAAGATGAATCCTGAAAATAAGCAGCCCACGTTTTACAACCCTAGAACGTGGTATTGGACTAAGTCAAGCAAACAACAGAAACAAATAACTTATCCCTAAAGACTAGGGCTTATTAACCATAACTGAAATAAACCCTACAAACTAGGAACTAGGAGACCTAACCCTAACGGCTAGGAAACCCTAACAGCTTCAACATCCTCCCTTAAACTGAATGCGGTCAGCAATCAGTTTATATCCATGAATGATTGAACACCCAATAGCCCTCGCAGTTTTTGAAACACGTCCAGCTTCAGAGGCTTGGTCATGATATATGCAACCTGCTCCTGTGAAGAACAATGAACCAATCCTACAACTTCATCCTTGGTGAGCTCTCGAAGGAAATGGAATCGAATATCTATGTGTTTACTCCGCCCATGCATTACTGGATTTTTCGATAGCTTAATAGTAGAACTATTATCACACAAAATTGTTATGGACTTGCACGGTTCATGATCGAGATACTATAAGATCCTTCTTAACCAAACTGCTTGACATGCACTTGAAGCTGCAGCTACGAATTCAGCTTCAGTGGTAGATAACGTAACCACAGGTTGTTTCTTTGAGGACCATGAGATTGCCCTTAAACTCAACATAAAAACGTATCCAGAAGTTCTTTTTCTATCATCCAAATCTCCGGCATAATCACTGTCATTGTACTCGAGAAGTTCTTCTCTTCCTCCCTTCTTGTAGAATAGTCCAAAATTCACCGTGCCCTTTAAGTACCTCAATACTCTTTTTGTTGCTTTAAGATGTAGTTCAGTAGGTCGTTCCATGAACCTACTAATTAAGCTGATGACATACATCATATTGGGTCGCGTTG